CAACCCGCTGACGCACCACCTGCCGCACCACCACCGTCCGCCGCTGTCGACGCACCGCCGGAGCTTCCCCCACCGTGCCGCCTTGTTTGCCGGAAATCGAGAGAGGAGCAGCGAGAGAGAGAAGAGCAGCGAGAAGAAGGAGAAGAAGAGCAAAAGTTATGGGCTTTGTGTGTTGAGCTTTGGGCCATCTCCTACCATGCCTAGAAGGTCAAGCTTGGCTAGAAAAGTGGAATGGGTGGATACCCACTACCTTGTTCTTAAAGGTAAAGCTTTTGATCCGGAATCTTTTCCTAATTCCTTGTTGGATATGCTTAGATTTCAAGGTTTGTTGGATGGGTTTCTTGCCATAAGGGCCGAGACTTACCCGAGATTGATTAAGGAATTTTATCGTCACATGGTTGTGACAAAGGAGGGTGATAAGCTTGAGATCACTTCTAAAGTGAGAGGTGTGAAGATTGTGCTATCTGAAAAGAAACTGGCTCAGCTTTTGAGTTTAACTGCTTCAGGAGTTGCTCAGTATAGTGGCCATTCATGGATTAGTACGGATACCATGGGGTACCGGGATTATTTGAGCTATTTGTTGGGCCGTACGAGTGGTTTCACTTAAGCATCAAGGCCGGAGAAAAAGTGGTTGTCTGCGGAGCAACGGATTTTGGTTATGTTGGTATCGGATTGCTTGTTACCCAATAACAACAAAAGCAAGTTGTTGGGAAAGTTGGAGTGCACCTTCGCCTTTTGCCTCAAGAATATGGTTAAGTTCAATCTGCCAGCTTTGATGTTGCAGCACATGGTTTTCTATCATGATCATAACCGGAAAAGCCTACCGTATGGGATGGTGTTGAGTTGGATCTTGGTTAGGAAGGGTGTAAGCGTGGATGGTTGTCTTCCGAAGGCCGTGGGAAAGCTGGTGTTGGATGCCACCAATCTTCGGAGTTGCAATTTGTTTCAGCTAGATGATGGTGAGTACATCATGCTTGAAGAAGTGGCAAGGAAAGCACCTGAAGAAAGGGCCGAGTTGGCAGCCGAGCTTGGAATCCATGCCGGGAAGTTGAACCTCGCCGTTCAGAGTTTGGGAGGCGATGAAGAAGTTGAAGATGAAGCCGGTCGTGAGGATGAGGTGGGAGCACCGGAAGCGGTTGGGGCCGAAGAAAGTGACTCGGAAAGTGAAGAGAACCAACGAAGAAGAGAAGCTCGCACCAAGAGGGAGCACGACTCCATGACGCATGAGGAGCGTGTTGTCGCCTTGCTTCGTCAACAGAACAGCATGATCGAGGAGAGCTTCGCCTACATGAAGACGCAGTTCGTCGCCGTGCACCAAAGGCTAGATCAGATTGAAGCCAGTTCAAGCCGTAGAGGTGAAGATGGTGAAGAGTCCGAGGAGTCGGAGAGCGCGTCCTTCTAGTGTGAAGCTGTGGCTATCTTGTTCGTCCTTAGTAGTTGTATCTTCTTAGCTGTTGTTGCCGTTTGTAGGTTGTTTGTTGTTCGCTTTTGTGCTTGTTTTGCTTGTCGCCTTATAGTTTAGTTAGCTTAGTAGTTGGTGCTTTGTGTTGGTTGTTTAGTTCTTACTGGTTGGCTAGAAGTCGGTGTTTGTGTTGAGGCTAGAGTTCGTGATGCTCGATTTATCCATTTGATTAAACTCTTGCCAATCCTTGATTTGAAATGCCTTCTTTCTTGCTTTGAAATTCTTGTGAATCCTTTTGAGTTTTGACCAAAAGAGTTTGTTCTTGAACCTCTTGTCACAATGTTTTTTCCTTTAACCGTTTCCTTTTAATTCGTCGTACCCAAGCTTCGGGGACGAAGCTTCTTTGAAGGGGGAGAGGATGTGACACCCCGAAATCCAAATTCAATTAAGGGACTAATTGAGTAATTAATCCTATTTCAGTTGGTGAATTAATTCCTAAAATCTTGAAAATTCAATAGTCGGGGACTAGTAATTGACTAGTCAACCCCAAAGTCAAAGTTGTACCTTAAGCTTTATATGGAGTTCCCTTGTTCCCTTACACTTCCTTAAGTTAGTAAGGGTATTCTTGACCTTTCACTTGGTGTTAGTATTGTAACCTAACCTAGTAGACCACCTTCATTCTTTCCTTACACTTTCTAAAAATCTAGCTCCACCTTCTCTCTAAAAAGGAAGATAGCTTTCCTTCCAAGCCAAGTTGAAGCCTTGCCAAAACTTCAAGAGTTACTTCCAAGATTCAACCTTTCATATATTTGTGCATCTAGGAGGGTATGATCTATGTTCATCTTGTGTTTTTAGTATTATCTAAGGTGTCTTTTCTTAAAGATAGGATCTTTATGATCTTTTGGTATGTTCTTGAAGTGGGTTTGGAAGGTGAGCTTTGTGAGGAGCTTGTTGAGGTGTAAAGTGTAGTCTTTAGTCTACAAGAGGTAACACATGCTCTACAAAATCTATTTTGTTTACCTATATGATGATTTCTTGGATTCTACATGTGTTTTTGGCTATGAAATGTTAGTGTTTATGCATTGTCGTGTGAAAATGCATATCTAGAACTTGTGTTTAGGGTTCATTTGTGCCATTGCTTGGCATTTCCTTTGATTCGAGTCATTTTGTTGTATTGGGTGAGATTTGGCATGTTTTGGACTTGAATTTGAGCTTGGAGTTGAAAATCCCCGAAGGGATTATTTGGGCACAGGTGTGTACCCGCGGGCGGAACGGCGGGTAGGGGTCCAACCCGCCGCCCACCCGTGGGCTACATATTTTGGGTGGCCTGTACCCGCAGGCGGAACCACGGGTAGGGGCCTACCCACGGGGTACGATGTGGTGTTGTTGGGGGATTTGTTCCCCGTGATTATTTTGACTCGGTATTTGGTCTTTTGACTTCCCGATGTTCTTTTGTGGAACTCTTTGAGTGTCTTCTTGATGTTTCGTATGTCTAGAACTATATGGTAGGTATCCATGTAGGTCTTTGGTGTTTTGAATCATGCTAAGTGTTCAACATTGTGTTTTGTTGAACCGTGATGAGTCTTGTGTGTTCTTCAGAACTACGTTTGGTTTACCAGTTTGATAAGCATGCTAGTTCGGTGTTTAAATGCTAGCGTGTGTGTTGTTTGTACCTTCCGGTTGGTTGATGATAACTTGTGTTATTCATCGTTGTTGTTGGACTGTGATCCATTCCTTGATTGAGTATGGTTTCATATCTTCGTTGTGATCCGTTGATTGATTCCTGTTGAGGTGTTGTGTGCGTGGCTGTACCTGGATTGCACGATTTCGGTTTAAGGGGCCTTAATCACCAAGGTACGGCAGCGGTCCTCGTGGTGGCCGTGACGTGATTATGGAGTTTGTGACCGTTGTGTAAGGTTCACTTGTTTTTTGGGTGGCATGTGTTGCCGTGTGTGATAGGTAACCTCGTGTACTATGAAATCAGTGGTTTTGTTGGAGGGACTGTTGGAGGGGGAACGACGGTTCCCGGGGGAATAAGGTTGGACTTGGTGTACAGGGGTCCTGGAGGTAAAGGTTGGAACTAGATATAAGCTTGGGGGTAGCCATAAGGTTGGAACCGTGCATAAGGAAGGCATATCAACTCATGATGGGTGATGTCACGAGGGCTTGTGTAGCCGTTGTTGTGAGTTCTCTTCTTGTGATGTGTGTAGTCACAAAGGCATGTGTTGCCGTTGGTCTTGTCTTTATCCTTTTGAGTTGTTGTTGTCCTTTGTGGTCTTGGGATGTATTCCCGTGTTCTTGTTGAGAGCATGAGTCTTGTGTTGACAATTACTCTTGGTTTTGTACTTATATACATATGTATTCCGTTTCGAAAATGGCTTTACAACTTATATCTTATCTATGTATGTTATTTCACATGTATCAGTGGGTTACCAGCATTATTCGCTGACCGGGCGTCGTCCCATGTTTATTGTGTTCTTTCAGGTGATGTCTAGATGAGTGCGTGGTCTAGTGCTTCCTAGTATAGCTTCTCCCTTACGTTTTGTGGCCTGTGAGCCAGCTTAGATGTAGAACAATGAGACATTTGGTTTAGATTTAAACATTGCAGATGTTGCCTGTGCGTTCATCCCTTTGGTGAACGTGGCATAGCACCCCGTATTCCAGTTTATATATATCTATCTATCTTTTAGTCTTCCGCTGTGTTTGTTGTTTGGTTTAGTTATCTGCATGTTTAAGGCTTTAAAATAACATGTTTTTTTTCGGGGGTGTTACAGAGATCCTTTAGATGAATTTCCATATGCATTTGTTAAGACCATTATCCTTTCGTTTGCCAATTTTCGGGCTTGTTCCAGATGGTATGCTCTCTTTGCTTGAGAGTCCATGACAGTTTTGTCCAAGATTTCCTTATCTTCTTTGCTGGCTGTGTTTGGCAGAGAGTATGTGATGTTTACTCTATCACCATCTTCTTCCATTTTTATGACTGTAGCATTTGTTAGTTTGCTAGCTTCCATTAGATGATGATCTCGACGAATGGCTCGTTTCTCTGCTTCATCCATTCGTCCTTTACCTTTGTTTTGATTCATTCCTGCAATCAACACTACTAAAACGCTAAAATATGTTAATGGGTAAGGATGAGTATTTCTCGTTGAGGAGTAAGTCCTTTTTATAGGCGCAAAAAGTGAGTGTTGCGTGAAGATCTTTTCAAAATATTTTGGATTCAAGTACTATATCTTCCTTTTTGGAATCTTTCGGAGATTTTTTAGCATAACTTTTCACATAATGCTTAAGTTTTTGTCCAATGAAAATATGTTGCAAGAAACAAAAATTTTCATTCATGAAGTTTGCATTTGAGTTCATGACTTATCATAAAAGGATATTTATTATGCTAACATAAAAGAAAGGATACGAAAATTCGTTCATTTAGTTCATTTTCTTCTTGCTGCTAGCAATTGATCTAAGAAGTGATGACAACTTTGGAGCAGTGCTTGATGGTGAGTAGTCTTAGCTATCACTCCTTTCGAGTACACTATCCACGTCAGTGTGTCTCACAAGATTTCCAATGGAATGGAATGATTCATGTGACTCGAGTTCAGTAGGGTCACGAAGGAGATTTTGCAAATATTGTGAATGTGCTAGCATTCTGTTTAGAGCATCCTTTTACCTGCAGATAAGAAATTTCCAAAGAAAATACACTTGAATAAAGGGTTAGAGTGAGCTTATTAATTGGCAGAACTTGTCATTTTATAGCACGAAGGGATGTCTTCTTGCGTGCAAGGATAGTCTAACAAGTGTCCTTTTTACTTTCCCAAGATTTGCTTTATGGAATCTTTTCAGGAATCTTTTGGAAGAAGGATTCTCAACACGCAAGCATGTTAGGTCATTTCAATCATTCCGATTTCGTGTCGAAGGGTAGCAAATCTATTCTCACAAAGTGGTTTAATGAGAATATCTGTGACACCCCGTAATCCAAATTTAATGAAGGGATTAGTTGAGTAATTAATCTTAATCCAATTGATAATCTAATTCCTTAAATTCCTGAAAATTCAATAGTCGGGGACTAATAATTGACTTGTTAATCCAAAGTCAAGTGTTGTACCTAAAGCTTTGTGAGTGGTTCCCTTGTTCCCTTACACCTCTTCATTTTAGTAAGGGTAATAAAGACATTTCACCTTATGTTAGTAATGCAAGCTAACCTAGAAGACACCCCACATTCTTTCCCCTTACACTTTCCAAACTTGAGCTCCTCCTTCTCTCTAAAAGTTAGATAGTTTTTCTTCCAAGCCAAGTTGGAGCTTTGCCAAATCTTCAAAGTTTGTCTCCAAGATTCCACCTTTCCTACCTTTGAGCATCTAGGAGGGTAAGATCTATGTTTATCTTGTGTTTATAGTGTTTTCTAAGGTGTCTTTTCTTAAAGATAGAATCTTTATGATCTTTTGGTGAGTTCTTGAAGTGGGTGTGGAAGGTGAACCTTATTAGGAGCTTGGTGAAGTGCTAAGTGAAGTTTTTTGTCTACAAGAGGTAACCCATGCTCTACAAAATCTATTTTGCTTACCTATATGATGATTTCTTGGATTCTACATGTGTTGTGCTATGAAATGTGAGTGTTGATGCATTGTCTTGTGAAAATGCATATCTAGAGCTTGTTATTAGGGTTCTTGTATGCCATTGCTTGGCTATTCCTTTGATTCAAGTCATTTTGTGGTATTTGGTGAGATTTGGCATGTTTTGGACTTGAATTTGAGCTTGGAGTTGAAAATCCCCGAAGGGGTGTTTTTGATACAGGGTGTGTACCCGCGGGCGGAACGGCGGGCGGGGCACCACCCGTCGCCCCACCCGCGGGGTACAAGGGCTCGTGGGAGTGGTTCCCGCTGGCGGAACCACGGGTGGAGGTCCACCCGCGGCTCCACCCGCGGGTACGTATATGGTGTTGTTCGGGGATTTGTTCCCCGTGATTCCTTTGACTCGCTATTTGGTCTTTTGACTTCCCGATGTTCTTTTGTGGAACAATTTGAGCGTCTTCTTCATGTTTCGTATGTCTATAACTATATGGTAGGATTCCGTGTAGGTTTCGGTGTGTTGAATCGTGCTAAGTGTTCAACATTGTGATTCGTTGAACCGTGATGAGTCTTGTGTGTTCTTCGAAACTACATTTGGTTTACCCGTTTGATAAGCATGCTAGTTCGGTGTTTAAATGCTAGCATGTGTGTTGTTTGTCCTTTCCTATTGTTGATGATGACTTGTGTTAATCATCGTTGTTGTTGGACACTGATCCATTCCTTGATTGAGTAAGGTTTCATATCTTCGTTGTGATCCGTTGATTGATTCACGTTGTGGTGTGGTGTGTGTGGCTGTACCTGGATTGCACGATTAATGGTATGGGACATTAGTCACCAAGGTACGGCAGTGGTCCTCGTGGTGGCCGTGACGCGATTATGGAGTTTGTGACCTGAGTGATGGGTTCACGTATTTCTTGGGTGGCATGTGTTGCCGTGTGTGTGATCGTTACCCTCGTGTACTATGAATCAGTGGTCTTGTTGGTGGTTGTTGTTGAGGGACGACGGTCCCAGGAGGGAAAAGGTTGGACTTAGATGTATAGGGGTCCTGGAGGTAATGGTTGGAACTAGACATAAGGTTGGGGGTAGCCATAAGGTTGGAACCGGGTATAAGGAAGGCATCTAAATTCATGATGGGTGATGTCACGAAGACTTGTGTAGTCGTTGTTGTGTGTTTCTCTATTTGTGACATGTGTTGTCACAAAGGCAATGTGTTGCCAATGGTTGTGTGCTTATTCTCTTGTGTTATGCATGTCGGGTGTTAATCTACTGTGTGATGGTAGATTATGCCTTGAACCGTTCTTGTGAGTCGTTATTGCTTCTTGATGTCTTGGGATGTGTTCGCTTATCTTTATTGTGAGTGCATAGAGTCTTGTGTTGATCTCTATCTTGGCTTTGAAATTGATATATACTATGTCCCGTTTCGCAAATGATTTTGTATACATATAAACTATCTACATATGATATTTCACATGTATTGGTGGGTTACCAGCATCATTCGCTGACCGGGCGTCGTCCCATATATATATCTGTGTTTCTTTCAGGTGCTGATTAGATGAGGGCGCGGTCTAGAAGCTATTAGAATAGATCCCCTTTTCTTTATGATGATTTGGGCCTGCGTGCCTTTGTTTAGACTTAGACGTTATGTCTTTGACTTTGGTTTTGAGATTGATAGATTATGTTACAGATGTTTACGCCTGTGCGTTCACCGTTGTGTGAGCATGGCATGACACTCTACGTTTTCCATCTATTTCATATATAGTCTTCCGCTGTGTATGTTTTATGGTTAGTTTATCTGCATGTTTAAGGTTTAATTTGGTATTGAAATCGGGGGTGTTACAATATCTGCTAATTGATCATCAGTATTGACATACTCAAGAGAGGTGTCCTTTCTTTCGACATGATCACGAATAAAATGATACTTAATATCAATATGTTTTGTTCGAGAGTGAAGAACAGGATGGTGTGTAATAGATATTGCACTTGTATTGTCACATTTTATACGCACTTCTCGAACTATTACACCATAGTCTCTTAATTGGTGTGTCATCCACAAGATTTGAGCACAACAGCTGCCAGCCGCAATGTATTCGGCTTCAGCTGTGCTAGTAGCAATTGAGTTTTGCTTTTTGCTAAACCAGGATACATGTCTTCCCCCCAGGAACTGGCAGGTTCCTGAGGTGTTTTTTCGATCAATTCTACAACCCGCGAAATCAACATCTGAATAGCCAACGAGATAAAAAGATCCTCTTTTCGGGTACCAAAGTCCTACACCTTGGGTCCCCTTTAGGTATCTTAAAATCTTTTTGGCAGCGCATAGATGACTCTCTTTAGGTTTGGATTGAAACCTTGCGCACACCCCAATAGCAAAAGAAATATCAGGTCTACTTGCTGTTAGGTAGAGAATAGATCCAATAATTCCACGAAAGTTCTTTTGATCAACATCTTTTCCTTCGTTGTCAATATTCATTCTTAGCGAAGTACTCATAGGAATTTGGACTGAGGATTTTCCATCAATTCCAAATTTACGAATCAAGTCTTTTGTGTATTTGGCTTGATTGATGAATATACCTTCTGGACATTGTTTGACTTGTAAGCCAAGAAAGTAGTTTAATTCTCCCAGCATGCTCATTTCAAACTTCCCTTGCATAAGGTTTGAGAATTTATCACATAGATCTGGATTTGAACATCCAAAAATGATGTCATCAACATAGATTTGTACTAGTAACACGTGATCATCATCTTTGATCTGAAAGAGTGTTTTATCAACAGCTCCTTTCGTGAATCCACAGTTTATGAGAAAGTATGAAAGAGTATCACACCAAGCCCGTGGAGCTTGTTTCAGTCAATATAGTGCTTTCTTAAGATGATATACTTTTTCATGTCCACAATCAATAACGAAACCAGGTGGTTGTTCTACATACACTTCTTCCTCTAGAAGTCTATTTAAAAATGCACTTTTGACATCCATTTGATAGACTTTAAAATCTTTGTATGTTGCATAATCTAGCAACATTCTTATTACTTCAAGCCTAGCAATTGGGGCGAAGGTTTCATCAAAATCGATGCCTTCTTCTTGACAATAGCTTTTAGCAACAAGTCGAGCTTTGTTCCTAACAATTAGTCCATCTTCACTCATTTTATTTCTGAATACCCATTTGGTTCCAATGACATTTTGGTGTGTGGGTCTTGGAACAAGTTCCCATACATTATTTCATTCAAACTGGTGAAGTTTTTCTTGCATGGCTATGTCCCAATCTGGGTCAATAGACTTTGGTTCCATTTGTGAAAGAAAGCAAGGCATCATGTTTTCGTGTAAAGACGCTCTAGTCCTAACACCTTCTTGTACGTTTCCAATGACTTGATCAGGTGGATGGTCTCTTAGCCATCTTAGATCTGGCTCAAAATATGTTTGTTGAATTTGACCATCCATTTCAGGAATGTAGGGTAGATCAATATTTATCATAGGATTAGAGGTAGGTTGAACATTTTGATCAGTGGCTCGTGTTTCCTCAACAGTTTGAGTTATAGTTTCGGGATGCGAGGGCTTGGGTTGATATCTCGTGTAAGATGAAAGATGATCTTCAAGATCTGAGTCTTCTTCTTTAAGTGTTACGTTCTCCTGAGCGTTTGAGCTTTGCACATTTGAGTTATTGATCTCAGCAGGGATCTTTTCAGCTTGTTCATGAAATTTTACATGGATGGATTCTTCTATAACCATTGTTCTTTTGTTGAGAACTCTGTATGCTTTACTTACTGAAGAGTATCCCATGAAAAGTCCTTCATCAGCTCTTTCGTCAAAGGCTCTCAGATGGTTCCTCCCGTTGTTATGAATGAAACACCTTCATCCAAAGATATGAAAATAACTGATAACAGGTTTCTTACCTTTCCATAACTCGTATGGGGTCAGGTTGTGAGCTTTGTTGTTTGCGTGTAGCAGGCTGTATTTATGGCTTCAGCCCAAAAGCGTTTAGGCAGACCGGAATGTGCAATCATTGTTCGTGCTACTTCTTTCAGAGTTTTGTTTCTTCTTTCGGCAACTCCGTTTTGCTGTGGAGTTCGTGCTGCCGAGAGTTGGTGGAATATGCCATTTTGTCCGCAGAACTCTTTAATGACCTTGTTTACAAATTCGGTTCCCTGATCTGATCTAATCCTTATTATGTTGACTTCTTTTTCAGTCTGAAGCTGTCTTAGGAGATCAGGTAGTAAAATTTATGTTTCATTCTTCTTCTTTAAGAATAATGTCCAAGTATATTTCGTGTAGTCATCTACTACAACCAAGGTATACTTTCGTCCACTCAGACTTGCAGGGTCAACTGGTCCGAATAAGTCCATATGCAATAAGCTTAATGGTCGAGAATTTATGTCTTAATCTTTGGACATGAATGATGCTTTAATTTGCTTCCCTTTTTGGCAAGCTTCGCAGATCTTGTCTTTGACGTAGGTTGCTTTCGGTAGACCTTCTACAAGATTTTGCTATGCAAGCTTGTTGATGGTCTTTAGATTTATGTCGCTCAGTTTATTGTGCCATTCTCAACTTAGATCTGCATTGTTCTTTGCGACAAGACAAACGTTAGCATTAGATAAATTCCAAGATACGACATACATGTTCTTCTTTCGCTTGGTTGTGAGAATGGTTTCACCATCACTCGTGCTGATGACGTTGCATTTATGTTTGGAGAATTCAACATTATAGCCTTTGTCATAGAACTGACTTGTGCTTAGTAGATTGAATTTTAACCCTTCCACATATGAAACACCTTGAATTGTTTTCCCATTCTTGATAACATCTCCAGTGCCACGAGTTTTCCCACTCGTTTCTCCTCCAAAGATCACCTTTGGACCATCAATTTCCTTATAGTTGCTCAAAATTATTTTATCACCGGTCATATGTCTTGAGCATCCATTATTTACATACCATATGACCTGTTTCTCCTGCAAGAAAGATTATGTGTTTTTAGGTACCCCTTCGGTTGCGGGTCCTTCGGGGTTAGAGGTCAACTTTGGGATCCAAGCGAACCTACAGTAACCTCGACTCATCCTCGGTCCTTTGTACCCATTAAAGATACGATAATCATAGAAGATCTGGGCAAAGGTTTTAGCCTTGTATTGCTCTTGAAAGTAATCATTAGGAGGGTTATGATACTGCTTGGAGTAATTGGTTTGCTTATGCAGATGTATTTTCTCAAATTGTGCTTTCGATAAGGGTTCAAGATAATCAAACCAATCCTCCTCAGATGGTCCCCTCCATCCGTTGCCATACATAGGTCTCTTGAGTGACCTGTTACGTCCGTTGTTCGGATTTCCTTGTGGAGGATTCTTTCGTATATTTTTAGAACGATACTACCTCTGATTAACATTCGGTCTTACCCTTGAATGATTGTTCCTCTTAGGCTGACCCCTTTGATGGTATAGATTAGATTTATTACCTCTTGGTCCATTCCATTTGACATTTTTATGCCTAGGATTGCCTTTCAAGGAGTTTTCGTTCCTGGGATCTATAGTTCGTTGTACAGCCTTTCCTTTCGGTTGGCTTGTTGACTACGGTGTTTCACCATTGTTAACCCTGGTCATTGGCTCAGACACTTGGGTGGGACCTTGAACAAAAGCAGACTCAAAACTCTCACGAGAGTAGACGTTTGTGGGTTTGTTCAAACCAATTCCGGTTCTTTCCCAGGCGGTTTTGATCCATTCACCATTCGGTCCATTAGACTGGACGAATTATTGAACGAATCAAGAACCTCACGCAATTGTTGCTCTCTCTTCTCTCTTTTGTACACTGCTCTTTAAGAGATAGAACTTGTTTTTCGAGCTGATCTTTTACAATGGCTAGCTTAATGTTCTCTATTCGAACTCACCTTAGCTCATTGTGACTGATCAATAGTCGAGAGTTCTCCTCTTTTAATTTAGAGTATGTGTTATTTATGACGGTAAATCTCCTCATCATTTCACTGACCGATTCATTGGAGTTTTGGTCACTGGTTGAGCTAGTTTCTATTGAAAGGAAAGAAGAGGACTGAGATTCTACCTCATCATCTTGAGCCATAAGGCATATTTCACTTGTTTATTCTTCCTCACTGAACAGACATAGCAGCCCCTTTTCTTTTTCAGTGCTATCATCATCTGAACTTGAACTCGAGGAACTACTTTCGATTTCTATGTTTTTGGTCGTTTCGCTTAAGACCATGGTTTTTCTTCTTCTTTCGTTTCTTGAGTTCGAAGACTCTGGTTTGTCACTTCGCTTGACGAACTCACTGGTTTCTTTTGATGAGCTTTTTGTCACACCAGTGTCCTGATGCTTGCTAACCATTGGATGTGGACAATTAGCTTTGGAATGTCCAGGCTTTCGACAGTTGTAGCATAGCATTTGAGAGTCAGTTTCTTGTCTGGATGGTTGTGGAGATCTTTCATGTTGTCTTCGGTTTGATGGTTGTTGAAAGTCTTGGAAGTTGTTCTTTCGCATAAACCTTTTCATTTTTCTCAGAAGTCTTTGAAGTCTTGATGGTAGTTGAAAGTCTTGGAAGTTGACCTGCTTGACGTGGATGCTTGTTGTTTGGCCATCAAGGCTACATTTCTTATCTCGGGTTCTTCAGATTCTTTTGGCTCATGTTCAAACTCATATGCTTTCAGATCACTGAAGATTTTGTTTGTGCTCGTGGTTTTCATGTCTCTGTGATCTCTGATTGCAGTGACCTTCATGTCCCATGATTTCGGGAGTCCTCGAAGAATCTTCAAGTTCTTCTCCTTTTCAGTGAGCTCCTTTCCGAGGTCCGAGAGATCACCCATGAGTTTCATGAATCTGAGCTCCATGTCTGTGATAGCTTCATTGGGCATCATTTTGAAGTCTTCAAACTTCTTCATGGCCACAGTGAGTTTGATGTCTTTCTCATGCTCATCTCCTTCTCCAAAATTCATGAGAACGTTCCAAATATCCATGGCTATTTTGCATTTACGAACTCTAGGGAATAAGGAGTCGTCTAGAGATTTATAGAGAATGTCACGCGCAACATTGTCCAGGTTTGCTCGGGTCTTCTCGATGAGAAAGGGATCGATAGATTATTCAGTTACAAGAAAGAGAGAACCTTAATACAAGAAGAGAGAGAGAGCTATCTATTAGGCTATTGACTAGATCACTAACAGAATGAATATTTATTAAATACATAACAATTATATAGTCTAATACTCCCCCTCAAGCACAAGGTGTGTGAGCAACCACATTGAGCTTGTCACGAAGAACGGTGAACCGGGCTGTTGGTAGCGGCTTGGTGAAAATATCTGCTAGCTGGTCCTTGGTAGACATGAAATGAACCTGGAACTCCCCTGCGGAAACCTCAACATGCTTGGTGCGAGCGTGGAAGACCGGATTCGCACATAGGTAGGTAGCTCCAAGATTATCACACCACAGCGTAAGTGGTGTAGTGGGACTTAGGCCAAGATCCCATAACAGAGAGACCACCCAGGTGACGTCAGCACAAACATCAGCAAGACCCTTATACTCGGCTTCAGTCGAAGAACGAGCCACTGTTCGTTGCTTCCGAGAAACCCAAGAGACCAGATTCTTCCCAAAGAACACAGCCCCGTAGCCACTGCTGGACTTGCGATCTACCGGACAGCCAGCCCAGTCAGAGTCCGAGTATGCGTGTATATCAGAAGACACCGACGTGGTAATGCGTAGACCGTACTCCAAAGTGCCTTTAACATAACGAAAGACGCGCTTTTGTAGGCCCTAGTGTTCATCGGTCGGTGAATGCATAAACTGGCAGAGCCGATTGACAGAGTAAGACAAATCTGGATGAGTGATGGTAAGATATTGTAGAGCACCGGCTAGACGACGATATTGAGTTGGGTTGTCAAAAGAGTCAGTAGTTTGACACACCGGCTGAGTCACAGATGCAGGAGTGGCTAAGGCTTTACAGTCGGTCATGCTGGCTCGCTGTAGAACATCTCGCATATAACGCCGTTGAGACAGAATCATACCACCCGGAACAGTGATGGTTTCAATGCCAAGAAAGAACGTGGGTTTCCCAAGGTCTCAAATCTTGAACGCTGTCGCTAGTTGTCGCAGCAATGAATCAACCAAGACTGTATCATTCCCGAGCATAATTATATCATCCACATACACGAGTAAAAACACTCTGG